ATTTACTATGGAAATTGGAACTTCTTGTTTCAGTAGCTATCATTGCAAATATGCTTCTCGAGTAAACTAATAAGAGACTAAAATTATATGTTCTCAACAGCTTTGCCCCGTTTGTGTTAGTAACTCGAGCAACATGGCATTCGGCTGTGGGCATCAGGTAATCTTCTTAATGCATTCTTGTATTCTCTTTTATCTTCATTTTTTTTTCTTTTCATTTTCTTCTGAAAAGAAATGATTTTTGAGAAATATCAACATCCTGTAACTTAATCTGTGAATGCCCTTTTTCTTTTCCAGGCCTGTGAAGAGTGCTCAAGAGGTCTCCCAACATGCCCTGTTTGTCAAAGCACAATCCAAACGAGGATAAAGCTCTCCTTCTAATTTTTTTTTTTTTTTTTAAAGAATCTCTTTGCTCGTATGCTTTGTAATTCATTATCAAAATGACGTAAACAGTGATTGATGTGTTTGCATTCGGTATCGAGTGATGGCGTTCTCCTTTGTACGTTATTTTTTTGGTCTAAGATATATCTTGTTCATTTCTCAATCTTCCCAATCATTCTGATTTCTTCCCATCAGAAAAATGGTAGTATATAAGAAGCAGGTGGATATGACTGGGAAAATCATTTTGATTAATGTTGATTCGGGTGGTGGTATCTGCAAAACTTTGTTCTTATTCTTAAAATCCACCCATGATCTCATTTTCCTGTGTTTTCCCCCTGCTTTTTGGGGAAGGATCTAATTCTACTCTGCCTTTGAAGAAAACGCACTCTCATTAAGATGAAAGGTACCGGAAACCACCAACATCTACTTGTGCATTTAATGCACCTAACTGTTTTGGTGGATCCGACCACCAAATCTTTTTTCAGATCGCATTCCATTCTTAGCCAGCCAATCTAAAGGACATGTCAACTAAAAACCCATCTTGATCTCTTTCTGTTCATTTGATCTCATTCTTATCTGAAAACCACCATTCCATCCACCGAGATGGCTTCCACCGCTGCCAAGTTTCGTTACCAAAAACTGAGAAATGAAGGAGGAACTGACGCCGGTGATGAAGGGGAGAAGGTGCTAGCAAAACCAAGAAGCAGCTATAGCCTAAAAAGGGTGTCCATGAAGAGAAGATTCCGGCTCAAAATTCCGGGACTGAGGAGGTTTGCAAAGGGAAAATGGAAGATGGCTTCTTCTGTGAGGGTCTCGTTTGGGAAGGTAATGAAGAGATTGAAAGAGAGTCAGGCTCATTTTGGTGATCTTTTTGCTGGGAATTATCTTTTCATGCAAGTTAGTCCTTCCTCATTGAATTTCATTCAAAAATCTTGTGAAGGCCCAACTGCCCTCAATGGGATTCCTTCTAGGTACTCTCTTCCCAAGGTTAATGCTTGAATATTGCCCTTTTCCTTGGTTATCCTATCCATTTCATTTCTCTTTTC